TTAACCCCTATAATATGCAATATTTTCCACAGCATGTTCTATTGTGTACAAGTACTGTACATGACCAATCAGGAGACTTCTGTATTCGGGGATATTTAAGGATCCTTTGGATATTTATGCAAAATCTTTGAAAATAGACAATATTCAAAAACGTTATGTTTTATGTTTAAAATTTCTTTATAAGTTGTAAAACTTAACCCCTGAATGCAACAAATGGCCGTGAGATGTCAGTCAAAAAAAATTACATGGAACCGTAGCATGGCGTGCCGGGACACTATAGGCCTGCTCAGCCAATCCAGGTAGAGTGTAAGAGCAGTCTGTGTCCTAGAAATTAAGTGAAAAGAAACCGCGCGAGTGTACACTAGCACGGAGGTTACAGTGTACACTGTAACCTCGAGCGCTGAATCTTCAGCTATTCAAATGAGGGTATCTACCTTATCGTTGTCCGGAATAAAGGTTTAAAGGGTACCAATGTGAATCGGACATAACTCTTTATTAATGGAAGGTCACTTGAAATTACGCTTACGGTCCATTTAACTGTACTGGTTCCCTTTGGACAGCTTCCTATTCTTATTATTAATGCTATTGTACTGGACAAATGGATCCAGGGGATGAACATTTATTTAAGACTACTGATTACTTTTACAGAATAAGAATTTTCAAATTATTGTTCTTCTTTCTTTATTTTATGCTATAACTTGATGAAACATTAAGAGATGAGAAATTTTTGATAATCTCATTAGAATTAGAATATGAGTATAGTTATCACCACCTTTCCACCAAAAGTAATATAAATAACTTTAAAAAAAAGACAAAAATAATGAAAATAACTTAAAAAAGAGTAAAGAATAAAAAATCATTAATAAAAGAAAAGTGAAGTGAAAAAATGTATTTGAGGAAAATAACAGAAAAAAAGATGAAAAAAGAAAAAAAAATCCCTAAAATTAGTGTCGTTTCTCTTACACAAAGGATTTTTTTCTCGAACCAACTACAGGCCTGAACTGTTATTTTATAAATAATTAATGAAGGTAATACCTACAGCCACTAGAAGGGCGGCTAATAACGAGGGAAATTTGTCAAATGATGATACAGCAAGTTCAGCAACCTTTTCATGAGGACCCATCCTAAAATATTTCAGAAATTCATCATAAAAACATTGACATTGTAAAAGGAGGGGGGACAGTTACTTTGGCCAATTTAGCTACATGTGGGAGTGAGGGTTCGTGTCTTCAATTAATTTTTAATCAATTTTATTGAAATTTTCATATGGGCATCAATTAAGTTTGTTTTTAAGTAAAGTAGAAGAAAATTGGGGAAAAATGATTTTTCACCAAAAAAGTCTGATTAATAGAAAAGCTAGGTGTTTAAAACACTGAACTGTTTGTCAAGAATGTCATTACTAACATCAAACCGAAGTTTAAGGTTTTTCAGAATACTTTTCTTCCCTATTTTCCCAACTTTATAAGATTTCTCCATTTTTTAAAACATTTTTTACATTTTCTGCATTCAAAAATTAATTTTTTCAGCGAAAAAAAAACAAGTTTTGCAGACAGGCCTCAATTGGATTTTATTATTGTAAAACAAACACAAAAAGCATTAGTTGTTTTTAACAATTTTCTCCTTATAGACGCAACAGATAGAAGTAAGATTAGTAGCGATCAAAAGCGCTTTTTTTATCGCATTAAGCCTATACCCCCTTTCATTTTTCTCGAACACTCCCTTTAAAAATAGTACCTGGCAACATATGCAATAACAGCTTTGTGTGCTAGACTACCGAATCCAATAACAGCTAGCCAGAGAATACAGGTAGAGAGGAATATTATTCCAATAGAGCCGAACATCATTAATATTGGTAGTACACCAAAATCTAACCCACGCTCCTGAACAAATATTAAAATGAGTCATGGCTTCCAGCTGCTTTGAATCAAATCAATTTTAGTTGTGATCTGGATACGTCCTGTTAAAACTTTAATCTGGATCTGTTCTATAAAAACTTTAATCCGGATCCAAACCAAACATTTTGCTTTATGTTTTGCTAATTCTCTGAACAAATTAGCTCCGATTGCTTAATGAATGCATCTAATAAGTTAATAGATTATGTGACCACCCTCTTCAAATGGTTTACAGATAAAGCTAAATTCCTGCTTTTTTACTACTGTGCACATTAGTGCCAACAGTGAAGGACAACTTAGATGACATTGCTATCAGTGACAGGGCAATTGTCATTACAAGCTTGATTTTAAAATGGTTTAACTGGTTGATATTAATTCTATACTCGGATAAGTTGACAACAGGTGAGCTTCAGTTTGGTTTTCACAACAATGTGCAGCTGAGGGTCAACTCTGTAATGGATTATTACAACAGAGCTGGTAGAGCAGTTTATGCTTGTGCAATCGATCTGCGTGCTCTTTTCAGAGTTATTGGAGAGAGGTGAATCACCTCTAGCATTGAGGCGTTTAATGTTTACTCAAATCAAAAATATAATGTTAGAAGGGGTAATGTTTTCTCAAATACCTTCAATGTACAAAATGGAGTCAGACAAGGAGTTGTTTCTTCCCTTGTGCTATTCTGTATATACATTGACAAAGTTATCAAGATATTACGCTGTTCAACGATTGGAAGCCAAATCCAGGGTGTCTTTATGGGCATCTGGGTATATGCAGATAATATTATTCTGCTTTCTTCTAGCAGAACAGGTCTTCAGGAAATTGTAAAAAATTGTGAAAATTTTGCTAAAGCTAATTAATTAAAATTTAGTACAAATATTCAAATAGAAAAATGTAAAACTAAATGCCTTATTTTTACTAGAGAAAGGGTTAATTATAATGTAAAACCCCAAATTTTTTTTGATAAATTACATTTACCATTTGTCAACGACATTTAGGAAATGTTCTGCAAAGTGATAATTTAAGGACCATAGATTGTAATAAAAAAACGAGCTATTTTCATATAAAAAATTCATTCTCTTAACCAAAAATTTTATTTTAACAATTGCATTAGATTTCTTACTAATTTATGCAAAAATGACCTTAACACAGTTCTTCACAGATATAAATTTTCCATTGCAAATGATTGTTTTGTAAATCTTTCTGATCATAGTAAAATGTTAGTTAAGAAACAAATGAAATATTTTGATGTCCCATTGGACCATATATGAAGAGTTCCGATTTTACAAGAACTATTTAATACAAGAACCAATAATTTATATGTTGAAGGATTCGATGATTACGTAATAACTGAAATGATAAATATGTTATGTAATGAGTTATAATCAATGTCGCCTATTTGTGCATAATTTTCAAAATATCTAAAAAAAATTAAACAACACTATTTATATATGTATGTATATTTTTGTGTGTGAATAAATCTTTATAATATAATAAAAATCTAACGGATCGTTTCGTTAACTGCGACCGTTTCAAAAGAATTATTTTCTAAATTAAGAAAATAAAAATATTTTTTTTTATTCATCGAGATCTTTTTAATGTAAAATTTGGAATTCGTAGATATCACTAGTTACCTGCAGTAACTGAATATCTGTAACAGGGAGTTAGGTAGATAACACTAGTTACCTGCAGTAACTGAATATCTGTAACAGGTAGATAGGTAGATAACACTAGTTACCTGCAGTAACTGAATATCTGTAACAGGTAGATAGGTAGATAACACTAGTTACCTGCAGTAACTGAATATCTGTAACAGGTAGATAGGTAGATAACACTAGTTACCTGCAGTAACTGAATATCTGTAACAGGTAGATAGGTAGATAACACTAGTTACCTGCAGTAACTGAATATCTGTAACAGGTAGATAGGTAGATAACACTAGTTACCTGCAGTAACTGAATATCTNTGCAAGTGTCTCCCATTTTAAAATTTAACTTCATTATTTTCTTTCAAATTATTCATTCTCCCGATTTAGAGAACTAAGCCTGAAAAATGAATATCTAAGAACATGATTGTATATTGCTAATCCTGTAAACCCCCAAAAAAAAGTATTGTGTCGCAGCTAGCTTTACCAGAGAAAACACAGCAAAGACGAGCAACAAAATGACAAAGCTGCGTTACATAAAGTTTATAACATAACAAGCAACTCGCGGTTTTTTAGTTCTTGCGGAGTACAGCTTTTGACAAGTTTTGTTTTTCGCCAAGTTTTCCTCTCGAGTATTCAAATTTTCGAGATTCATACAGTGGTCAACATAATTCTGTACAACACAAAGACCTTCAATAAACCAACTATTCGGCGCTACGACATCTGCTCTATTTCCATTTGCTCTATGGCCATTTGCTCTAGTTCCATTTGATCTATCAAGTCATTTGCTCTATAAGTCATTTGCTCTATATTCAATCTGCTCTATACCTCATTTGCTCTATGACTAAACACGTCATTTGCTCTAAAACCTTAAAATACACTATAAAATAGCTTTTATTGGAATTCCTAAGCGTAACTTGACTATGAAATGCGGGATTTTTTTTTTGGAAATTTCGCAAATTGCAGTTTTAATCAGTTCTTCAAAGTTCATCATGACGGAGAGACTACTCAATAATAAGAGGGGAAAAAAAGCCTAATATGTGGTGAAAACTATATTTAGGTCTCCCACTATGCACAAATACCAGACAAACAAAACTATCTCCAGGAAGTTGGCGGAATAATGAAACTGTAGGAAGAATTGTAAAATGTAAAATTGTAAAAATATAGTTTTAATATAATTAGATATTTGTAAAATATGTTTATAGAGCAAATGACGTGTTTCCTCATAGAGCAAATCTTGAGTAGAGCAATTGGACCATCACAGTCATAAAAATGTTTATAGAGCAAATGACGTATTATGTCATAGATCAATTGACGTATAGAGCAGATGACAATATAGAGCAAACGTCGTGATCTATGAGCTATAGAGCAAATGGTTAATAGAGCAAATGGAAATAGAGCAAATGGCCATAGAGCAAATGGAAATAGAGCAGATGTCGTAGCGCCAACTATTCCATTTTATTGTTAGTACCACTGTATTCACCTGACATATGCCATCAGAATAAGGAGAGATGACTTACAATACTTCTCTGTCTCAAACCTCAAAAGAAAAGAAAAACATGAATTAACGAATCAAAATATTGACATTGTCAGCATTATTAGTTAAACGTTAAAGGTTGTTTTGTTGTATTTTATTATTACACTTAGCATCTTTTCAGAAAAAAAACCACTCCATCAAAAAAAAAAATAATTACTTGAAATTCCAAGATTCATTTCATTCATAATTTAGCGCCATATTGTCACGTGCGAAAGAGAGCAATCAATAGCAATGTTAATTCTGACAATTATAAACCTTATTTTGTGGGGTGGGAGACTCAGACTACAAAGAACTTAGCTTCCCCAGCCCCTCCCCCACTCCCCTCCTGTTATAAACCCTGTAAGTCCGTCCTACCTACGCATCTGGAAAGCTAGAATTAGAATGAGGATACATGAGGAGAATGGAAGTATAAGCGGAGCATAGTAGCGGACAAGTTGACCCATCATCTGGGGTAGCGAGGTCTAGGGTTCACCGTAAACACTTATTTCAGAATTAAAGGGAAAGTGGAAGGAGTGGAAGAGTTACATGCCAGATCGATTTATTCACTTTGCCGATTGATCCAATAGAGCAACGTTTGAACCTTCAATTCAGCAAAACCTTTGGAAATATTCTCGTTTAAAGGAACCGATAAAACGTTATTTTAAGGGACCTCTCATTGACAGAGGGACATCCTAGATTGAAAAGGTACGCTTTAAATCTTTGGTTGATCATTAAGGACAGAGAACTCAGTGTTTATTTCTCTTCAACGCTTTGTAAAAAGCAGGGGTGTTTATAGTTCAAAAGAAATTGATCCTTATTCCCCACCTCTCAATTTTTTTTATTTCCTTTACCAAATTCGACAACTAAAAAGAAATCATATTTACATTTACATATTTACATTGTAGTGCATATTGCATAATTATCCCAAAAAGAATGTATTCTGAAAAGCATAAAATGGCGGCGCAGGAAATTTTTTTTTAAACGTTGGGTAATGGCAAGAACTGTTAACTCGTGTACAAGAAATGTTTTCTGTAGATTATTAAAGAAAAGTCTGTCATCCATGATCAGTTAGACTCAAAAGGGTTGTAAATCGGAGATCCCCTTCTTTAAATGGAAAGTGACCTTAAATTACGCATACAGTCCCTTTAATATCTGAAAATTGCGGTCTTGCTTTAAATTTACATTAGGATTGTTGTAACAAAGAAAAGGAAGGAATCGGACAGCATTAGTTTTACTTATTTTAAAATGAAAAACGACGATATTTCTGTTTTTTTCTACCCTTTCTCCGTGTTTTTATAAAGGATACCGTTCATGGTCAATTATACATTTCCAAGATTATTTAAATGGAGAATCAGAGCTGAAACTTTAGAATGGGATATCCTTATTCCCGAAAGGTTAATTAATCTGGAGATTAATAACAAGAGGAGAACAAGTATTATTTAATCTCGAGATTAAGAAAAAGTGGATCGAGCATTAATCCCGATATCCACCATTCAAAAGTTTCCAGCTCAGGGCACTTGAAATTAAGACGTAGTCTCTTCTTGGATTCCTGAATTATAAGGGACACTTAAACTTAGTAATAATCTATTCCAAAAATTTGTAATGGTCAAAAAATGAGAGATATTATAATAATTCATTTTTTTAAAGTCATTTAGTTTTATAAAGTTTCATCGTTTTATCTATTTTCAACTAAATCAAAAAATCTAGAAGTATCAAGTGGGAGATTAGGTAATGGAGATAAGTTCTTGAAGAAAATATAAACCTCTGGCGCAAAGGATAAAAAGATTCATGTAAATGTTGAAGAAAGGAAGAGAAGGTAAAGTAATTAAGAAATGAAAATGAACATATAAAAATTAATTGAAAAAATAATAAATATATTCTAGAGGGATCAGTTTTTATCAAGACACTTAGTTCTAATTTCTCAAATTCTCCTCCTTCATAGTTCATTTTTTAATAAAACAAACATTAATTAATTAATTGATGAATTCTTATTTTCACTGTGGTCTGTGAGTACATTTCTGAGAGATCATTTCAGAAGAATTGTATAGCTGATTATTCGGATTCTTGACCAGAATAAAAGTCATCTAAAAAATTCACTAAGAAAAGGAAAACCTGCGAAAATAAGTAAATAACCTAAAATGTAAAGGAAGCAACTAAGAATTAAATATTGAAAAATAATATTCTAGTTCTGGTAGCATGATGAAAAAGTGTTTAGAATTCCTGAATATGTACGGAGTACGAACAGGCTGGGTCAAGATACAAGTGAACCTAAATAAAATATTTTAAAAATAAATCTCGTTTTTTAATTGTTATTATTCTTTGGAATAAAATGTACATTTAAATCTCGAAAACTAATGAAAAATGTCGACATGTTTTTACACAAAATGAAAATTAGCATTATTAGCTATAATATTTCAAAATGAAAATTAGCATTAATAGCCATAATATTTTTTTAAATTGCACCCCGACCTGAGGGTGTAAATCCGCGGGAACTGCTGAGGTTTTTGATGACATCAGCTTAGCGGTCAATGTGTTGGTAAAGTTTATTCCCTGCCCTATCAAAACCTGAAAATATGTTAGTGACAAACAAAAAAAATATACCAAAAACCAACTATTTTTTTTTGTCTCAACAGATTTATGAAATACCAGTAGAATTTTAGAGGCTGCTGAAATCCTAGCATGATATAGAAAGAAATTTAAATTCAGACTCAGGGGTCCCTGAAGTCGAGTTGAGGGTTCATAAATATGGGTTTCATGGGTCACTGAATAAAAATATGGATGTGAGGGTTCGTCCCTTTCCATGGGTTTCACCATGAATATGGTCCCTGAAGGTGGATGTCAGGGGTCTCTGATATCGGTTGTCAGGGTCCCTAAAGACGATTGTCAAGGGTCCCTGAAAACCAGTGTCAGGGGTGGGTCCCTCTAGATTAGTCCAGGATAAAGAATATGTATGTCAGGGGTCACTGTGTACTGTGTATGTATATCGGGGGGTCCCCCTATTAAGATGCAGGGGTGCATATTTCTCAGTAGGGGGGATGGGGGGAAATAATTTTATATTTAAAAAATGAAAAATTCATAAAAAGGCAAGTTTTTTATTCTTTTTGATACTTTTTACCCCCCAAAAAATATATTTCCCCCAATTCAGCGAATACATCCATTACAAAAATGCGTACATAATTTCTGGGGAAACTATGATTTTTCGATATATATTTAGAAATATGCTCCTGTAGAGATGTATTTCAGGGGTTCCTGTAAACTGTAAAGATGGGATTCCTGAAATAAAAGGCTTGTGATCCGAGTGTACCTGTGTAGTAGTATTGGCCCACGGAGTGTAGAATCTAGCTAAACCGTAGTGAACCTATTTTTTAACTTTTCTTTAAAATATATATTCTCTGCTTGTTGTGTTTGCTTTTTTTTCGGATCGAAACTCATAAACTCATTGACATGCGTGTCTTAAATTATTATTGAGGAACGTTCTTAGTTCGGTTGATTCTAGAGAGAAAGTTAATTTTCCGGGGAAAGCTGGGTTCCTACACTTTTTCAAAAGAAATCAATAAAATGGGGTTATTGATGAAAAATGAAGAGAGAAAGAAGAAATGTTACTAAAACAGAAAAGTATTTCTCTCTTTTTGATACATATTATCCCCTCCCCGCCCCTTAAATATTCAAGTGTTCTGAACAAAGTAGCTTTTTTATTGATGGATGGGAGACTGAATTTTTATCAAGAAACCCACTGTTAAATAAATAAATAAATAAATAAATAAAAGATCAACCATCATTCCGGGGAAATCAAGGCCGATCTGAGAGCTAAATATATTCTCTGAAAAGTGTTCCTTGGTTGGGTCCTCGTATGCACATTGTACAGGGTTCACATGGATATCATAGGCTTGCCAGGGGTGGTCAATACTCACTTAACAAAATAAATTTTTAAATACTTATTCATAGTTATAAAAATAAAATTTATGATGTTAAAAGAAATACGGAATAAAAATAAAAATTAGACTTCAACTAGCGAGTATGGTTCTTCATTTCTAAATATTGTCTCTTAATCATCGAACTATCCAAAGAAAAACTAAACATTCCTTAAACTGTGGATAAAAAAAATTAATTTTTGAAGGGACTAAACCACCTGACTAAAATTAAACAGCAAGAATATATTTTGTGTAAAAATAATTCCCCCCTTTATTATTACTATTCCACTATTTGATGTAAAAAGGTTAAGTTGGGTAAAAACACTTAAACACCCCTGTAGAGTGTAGAGTGTTGACCAGTTTACTCACCTAGACTAATATTGTAGTAGACTGCACCAGGAAGTGTTTTCTCAATGATCGGATAACTGCGCCAAAACGTGATCCACTAAATTATAAAGTTTAATATGTTAGAATGATAAAATTGAAAACAGAATTTCAATTGAATCCGCCGGCAACTTAAATTTATTTAGTTGCACCTCTCTGGAGGGAGCCAATGTTTCTGCTTCTTCGAATCCGGATAACTCAGTACGCTTTACATGAAAATCTTCTTATTAGGAAAAACATAAGTCTTAATATTACTAGTCTTTAACGTCTTCAGAGGGTGGTTCAAAATCTGAATCAGAATCCATCAAAATGGAATTGAACCCAACCAATGCTTTATTAGGACAGTTCAATGGACCGATAATCGTTTGATTGTTCGGATCATGGGTCCAGATTCCGGATTTGTTCTATAATGGTTTCAGACTCCAGACACTAGTTAAAGTAAGAGTCGGATTCTGGATCCAGATTATAGATCATTTTTAACCTATCCTTGATCCTTGTTTGTCATTTCGGAATCGAATCCAGGATTCAAAATTAAATAAAGCATTTAACAATTGTCCATATCCTGCTCGTATTTAATAACCAAAGAGTTTTTAAAGGGACTCACCACGAAATTTCAAGGGACCCTTAATTTTTGATTACAGTCTGATTAAATATTTCTTTCATTTCCTTTCTTGTCTCTCCTGCATAGAACTTAAGGTTTATGTGTATAGAGAAACCGGATTTCAGAAAGAAAACAATGGTTTCATCCGTCAATTCTGCCCGGACACACTTTATGTTGGTACCGTTCTCAATGTTTAAATAGAGGCTCACTTTAAATTACGTCGAATCAAATTATAAATCTAATCACCTTCGGAACTGTATAGGTCTTCTGTCTTTCTCTTGGATCATACAGATCAATGCTAACCTAAATAAGAGTTCTATTTTAAAATTTTTTATTTTAGCATCTAAGTTCTTAACCCAAAAAAGGGTTTTATTTTAAATTTCAAGAAATACTCAATACGTATTGGTCTTAAAAAGATTTTTTTTTGGGGGGGAAAACGAAAACATAAACATTATCTTTGAATTTATAAGAACTTACTTAGTAATGTTTAATGATTCAACGTTTTATTTATTAGAAGTTATATACCTTAGTATCCTCTGTATGTACAGGGGTATGAACTACAATATGAGAATATCCGCGGTTTTCCTGTACAGTTACAATCATAAAACAGATACACCACAATTAATTGGTACTCTTTCAAAACAATTTCCAAAATGAAATTGTTTTCTCGAAAATTCTTAAAAAGCACAAAAGAACAAATGTTTTTTTTTCATTGATGAAATTATATAAAATAGAAGGCGTAGCATACCTTGCAAAAAAATTTCAAATAAAAACGTTTCTGAAAAAAGAAGCAAAAAAACGTTGAATATCCGTCTCAAAAATGGCGTTAAATATTGTATCAGATGATTCTATTTTTATTCCTTTAGTTTGTGCATGTCTAGCTGGATAGATTTACGTTTTCCTCTGGAGGGAATAATTGCTGAGTCTCCTGAATTCAAGAAGAAATAATACAAAAATGTGAATTTTAAACATTAATTAAAAGTTTTAATCATAATTTAAATAATAACATTCATTGTTCAAGTTCAACTAAGTTAAAATTAGTTTAATGTTTTAAGCCTCGTAATTTAATCATCTTTTTTGCATTAATACCAGACAAACTAGAAATATGAATATGGCGGACACGTTTCAAGAGACTGCAAACTAGAAATATAAAGATGGCGGACACGTTTCAAGGGACTGCAAACTGGAAATATAAAGATGGCGGACACGTTTCAAGGGACTGGAAACTAGAAATATAAAGATGGCGGACAAGTTTCAAGGGACTGCAAACTAGAAATATAAAGATGGCGGACACGTTTCAAGGGACTGCAAACTAGAAATATAAAGATGGCGGACAAGTTTCAAGGGACTGCAAACGGAATTTCAAGCGACCCTCTATGCTAAAAGGAAAATTCACGAATTAAGACGGTATTCTAAACTTTTTGACTGATCATCGAGAGTAGAACATAACGTGTGTTTTTCTTTTAAAATGAAAATTGAAGTGCACGCTAGCGTACAGTGTGAAATCACGAAAGCTGAAATTACATAATCCTCAAAAATCCCAGATAATCTCTGTCTAACGCGGTTTTCAAAAATAGACAAATAAATGTGAATATTTACTTTTTTCAACTTTAAGAAAGTAAATATTAATTTTTCTTAAATTTATAACAGCTAACAGACGAAAACAAGCGCTTCTATGGGAAACTAAGATACGTCTATCATACTTGATTAGACAAAGGTTAAAAGGGTACTGTTGTAAATTGGACACACCACTCTGTGAATCTACGTGAGGAAGCTCATTTAAAATTACGTCTACAGTTCCTTTAAGATGGCAGCAGATATACTTAAAATGTTGGAACCGGGGAAAAAACAATTCCATGATTGAAAATCCGGGAGTTAAAAGAGACCTGAAAGATTGTCTCCCTCGTCACAAACTCGAGTATTCTTATAGATTCGTGTCTCCTTACAACCAAACACCCAGTCATCGTTATCCATCCTGATAAAAACAAATAATATATTTTTAGTAAAAAGTAACGTATTTTAAATAGAAAAAAAGTTAATTAAAAAACAACAGACTAAAAAAAAAAAAATAATTATCAACGAGTTAGAAGAAAACAGATCATTGGTGAGGAATATTTTTTAATTTTCAAAAAAACATATTGATGCATGCTTTTAATGTAAGATGGGGTACAATCCACTGAATGTCGTCCTTTTGTAGGTTTTAAACTGATTGTTTAAAAACTTTAAAATTGTTTTTAAACATATAATGACTGTATAATTTGTTTAATCTTTAACAGATTTTCACAATTTTAACGTTGTTTCTTGTTTAAATATGACAAGAAAAAAAAATCAAATATAAGTTTGTTTTAAAAAAAATTAAATGTTTATTTTAATCAAAAAAAATCTGGACAAAAGCAAGATGGATCTGCGCATTTATTTCTAAATTTTTTTTTTACCTTACTGCGTCGAGAGTAAGAAATTTGTTGTTAACATCGGCATTGACCTAGAGACCAAATCATGAAAGTAAATTTATAAATAAATATGAATTATAGATAATATAGATAATAATAAAATAAAAAGAGAATATTTTTTTAATGGTCTTTTCCTTTATCATGACATAGTGGTTACAAGTTGCATTAACCTGTAAAACAACAATCCTTGTTCCTGGTTTAATTGTTTACACTATATTTAATATAAATTAGTGGTGGATTGTTAGTATTTTTCGACGATGAACTAACAACTTTTAGAAATAAAAATTATAGATTTATTTGCAAAAGTCTGGAAGCTTAAAAAAAAATATCAAATTTAATCTTATTAAAATATTATTATTTTTGTCATCAAAGAACAACCGATATGAAAAATATTCAAAATAAATATTGACGAAGCGGCGAAATATCAATAATTGCCCCCCTTACTTTGAGAAATCAATTAATAGAAAGACCGAACACAAAAGCCTGAATCCAAAAATTGTACCTTTTATAAAGATGGTAGTGCGCCACTTTACTTCGAAGATCGAAATCCATTGTTATCTGTTTCGAGTTCGAATCCACCATGTCAAACAGAACTCGGTTTAATGCCAATACCAACTGCTTGCACCAGACAATACATCTAGAAAACAATACTCCAATCGCTTAATCTCTGAAAACTTTAGAATGGGATATCCTTAATCCCAATCGGTTAATTAATCTGGAGATTAATAGCAAGAGGAAAACAAGCATTATTTAATCTTCTTTTAAGTTTTCTGCTCATGGTTCATTACACAGCGGGATATCGAATTAAGATTAAAATAATCTGTAAATTAACGAACGATCAAGATCAAACATTGATTCCAATATACACAATACAAGAGTTCCCCGCTCTGGTTACACGTATTTTCAATCTGTGGAATGTATAAAATACATTATTCAATATTAAAGAAGGAAATATAATTTTTTTTTCACATAATCATTATTCCTTTGAGAATGAGAAGATAGTTTTGAAAAATCAATATAACTGTCAATCAGGTAGAAGCAACTTATAAATTTCTAGACATTTTTTCTAACATTAATTTTATCAACAACCGAACCGAGGATCAATTATTTAGTTAATCAATCAATCAAATTTTTAGATTCAATGTCAAAATGTAAGTATAAAAAATGTACAAATGTAATTGATTAAAGAAAAATACTTTATTTATCAGTAGTGTACAATGCATCTTATGCAGACATACGGATTAATTTATAAGCTCAAATTAAAACGTTCCCACATTGAATATCGAGATCCAGTGTTCAAAATTAATGACACTTCACATAAAAGTTCCTAGACCATTAATGAGTTGAACTGGTTTATACGGATGTATTTGTTTTTGGACTCTGAGGACGGAGGATCGGACGACCACGAGCAGGAGGCCTGGCGGGAATGATCGTGGAGTCGGATATCACTGGTTTGAGTCTGTCAACGGATACCACATCAACCTTGTCACCAATCTGGAGGCGGAAAAATTTGCTGACGTTCCAGTACTTTATAAGGACCTCTGTATAACGGAGAGAGGGCGGGAACGGAGGCATCTTCACGGACAAAAACAAAATCAGCTTGGAGAAGAGAGTTTGGTAAAGGTTTAGGAGCAGCGGGAGCTACATGATGAGGCGGAGAAGCGGAGAAACCTGATGAAGCTAACTGAATTTTCCTCAAGAACGAATCTGGTGGGAACTCTGGAACGCTCAGAAACTCTCCTGGAACACTGAGAGCAGATCCATAAACTGCTTCTGCTGAACAAAAACCAGTATCCTCCTTAGGAACAGTACGAAGTCCCAGAAGAACCAGAGGCAGATGTTGGAACCAGTTTGAACCAGCTGCTCGAGCTCTGAGAGCAACTTTCAAGCTTCTATGANGAAAAAACCCTAAAAAATGTATAAATGTATACTGTATAGGGTCACGTTGTAAATCAAGCATTGTCATCTTTACATGATTCACTTGCAATTACGCTTACCGTCCATTTAAAGGGAGTGTTCGTGAAAAATGAAAAGATGTATAGGCTTACGGCGAAAAACAAGCGCTTTTGATCGCTACTAATCTAACTTCTATCTGTTGCGTCTATAAGGAAAAAATAGTTAAAGACGACTTATACCGAAGAACGTAGTGTCCCTACAAATTCAGAAAGTTGAAACATTCGACTCCCTTTAGGTACAATATTTGTTTTCATAATACGTTTCACCTAGTTGTGGTTTTTAAGTTAATGCTCTTCCCAGAAACTGAAGTACACTTAAATGTAAACGAAGGAGTTTCTGATGTATTTCTTGATAATACAGTATACCTATGATCTGTTGGAATCCACACTGAAGATGCAGCAGTACTGTCAACGTTTAAATCTCCGAATTTATCTTGAGTTAGTCCAGATCTAACCTGAACACGGAAAATATAAGATTTTTTAAAGATTAAAAATAAAAATAGTTTGTCTACAAAAAATGTCCAAGTTTATATATTGCTGAGAGCTTAAATTGTAAAATCTATAAATCTCTATTTACGGATTTCGATCTAGGTAGTAAGCATTAGTAAACACTGCATTAACCTCGTGCTTAAAGGGATAAGTGTAATTTCAAGTGACCCTCTATGCAAAGATGGCAATGTCCGATTCACAACTGTATCCTTAAAATCTTTTTCTGATCAAGTACAAATTATATAACAATGTTTATAATTCTAAAATCTGATTATTTTCAAGTGTGGGTTTTCTACTATAGTGACTTGCGCATTTCTACTGCAGAAATCAGCATAAAAACAACACATTTAAATCAATAAAAACGACAATATCTTCATAATTTTTTTATAAATAATGGTTTCAAGGTTACCGTTGTGAATCGGGCTTTGCTATCTTAGCATGGAGAGTGAATTAAAAGTAGGCTTACAGTCACTTAAAGCTTAGTCCTTTATCCAAAAAATGAGGACAATGAGACAAATTCCCCCCC